ATGATATCATAGTTGAATAGTGAATTTCTATAGGTTGTTTTTATGTTCAAGTATGCATGTAGCTGATTAGCATGCATTCTTGTACAATATAACTTATAATGTAAATACTGTTTTGAAGTAGAATTGAATCAATAACTTGTAAATAGTGGCCTGGAAGTACATCTACTATGCTATTGATCCATATATCATTTTTCTATATCTATATCTCTAATAATAGTTTTTTATTATATTATTAGAGTTTTTTTTTTCTGAATTAATAATATGTTTGACACTTTGAAAAAGTGTAGAAAAATAGGCTGTTTATATATATTATTTTTGTCTTTTTTTATTGCAAAGCAAACTATTATAAAATTCTATTTTTTAAGTATTAAAAGATCTTTGAATATATGATATGTTTTGGCTTTAATATTAATTTATATTTTATTTGTATTCAGAAGTTTTGTTAAATTAATATTTCTCTTAATCCAATTTTATTGATTTCTATATTACTTAATTTTGATTTAGAAAAATAGTTTTTGATATTTTGATACTAATTATAATTGTTTATTTTTTAAAAAAATTGAGACTAAGATATTTGTGCCATCTGATATAAGCCTTGATCTAAGGTTTGGTTTATACCTTATAGATTAAATATTTTAGACTTTTTTATATCTTTTTAGGTGTTTCAATATATAGTGTTTACTAATTCTTTGATTTATATTTACTAGACAAATATATTATATATTAAAGTTTTTCATAATTTTAATTTTTTGAAAGACTTTTTATTTAATTCTCTTTTAGTTTTTTATATATTATATATGATTTGAAGAGTTATATTATAAATAATAAAGTTATCTTTTTTTAATTTGTCTTTCTACACACTTTAGAATATCTTTTTCTCTTATATTTAAAAGGTTGGCTATTTGTTTTTATTATTAAATTTCTTTTTTAAGAGCTTTCTTTCTGTCTATAAAACTTTTAGAATATTATCTAGGTATATCTTGATTTTTTTTTTTATTTTTTTAAGAATATTAGTTTTTATTGTTTTTATTGTTTTTTTTTTTTTTTTTTTTATACCCATGGTCAGACCAGTACTATATGTTTATTAATTATTAAGAAAACTGATTGAGATACATAGGACAATTGTATCATGGCTAAACTAAAATCTTTTACCGACACACTCATCAATGGCTTTCAATTCTCAAAAGAGTTTCAGCCTCTAAGTGCAATCTTGAGGACAATATTTCACTCCGAACTAAGTTTTGGGTGAAGACCCTTCTAACTTATCCATCATTGCTAGCAGGTTGTCACTGCTTATTATTCTCCAAGGAACTAAATTTAAGAAACTACAAAAAGAGAAAAGAAAAATAAAAGGAAAAGGGTATATCTAAAAATGTGCAAATGCACTATATGAAAATGAATAAAAAAAAAAGAAATTTAAAATTGCTCCATATCCTCCAAAGAACCTTGGCTAGAAATCTCTTCTTATTAAGAATCAACCCTTCTGAAATATCCTTCTTCTTCCTGACTATCTGAGAAACTTATCTATCTGTGTTCTTGATTATTTTCTTGTGCCCGTCTGAGGTACTTATCACTTACTCAGATCCAGTGTCTTGCTTAACGCTTCCTTTCTTTTGGTCTTGATTTTTTATCCACCTATGCAATACAGAATGGCCAATGATGAATCCCAGGTTCTTATGTGGCTTTTCAGTCTTGTTGTGTAACTCCCGATATCTTCCAGCAGTCACGCCTAGTTAAAGGAATTTTACTGATATATATCTTTCAATATCCAAAAAGTCAAATTCCCCAACAATCTTTTTGTCTTGTAATAGTGAGAGGGTTTACAAAGTATGGGAATCCTCGTCAATTAGGATATCATTACACAATGTCTGGAGAAATGCATTCTCAATCCTAGAGAAGGGCAATGTTTTACATTTCTCTGCTTTTCAGTCTTACAATCTAACTGAGATAAGGAAATAACCTCCTTCACATACTTTGCCTGACTAGAATTATAGGAAGTTGAAGGTCTCAGCTTGAACAAATAATTACCTTTTCACTATCTAGAGAATTTGGTGCCTATCCTAATGACCTCATGATTTCTTTGCTTCAGTTAAACTTCACTTGAAGAAGTGGAGGAGTTCATATCCTTGATTTCTCTTTCAATCACTAATAATATCATCGGAACATATGAGGTGACCAATAGGAGCTTATTTACATACAGCTACTAATGTGTTTCATATTCACCAATCATATTTTGAATAGATTGTGTCACTTAAAATTCAGGGTCAAACTGAGGTAGGCAAAATTCTTCAGAAAACCAAAAAAAATTTTGAGTGACTATAAGAGGGAAGAAACAGTAGGCAGATACTTTGAAATATGACTTGATGTTTGCCATCTCCTACTGTAGAAAACCTCTTTAGATATGCTTCAATATAAAAAGTTTCAAGTACTACACTATTAGTTCTTCTTCCTTTCAGAACTTTCTTGCCGTGGGTAAAGAAGGTGTTTTTTGACTTTTCTAGGTCACAGGAAGCCAAGTTTTTATTTGAAAATGAATATAAACAAGAGGAAGTGTTTAGGAGTATCTCTTAAAGTAAAACTTTAAGTTGGTTTAAGGATAGTGTTAAGACTTTATTAGCAAAAAAATAAAAAATTTCTTGCGAACATCTTTTTTGTGTGTGGGTAGAGGATCATCAGAAAGAGTTTTATTTTTATTTTTAAAATTCTGATGCAAAAAAAAAAAAAATTAATATGATATGTCTTTATTATATATATAAAGATATTTATAAAGATTTGTGGGTCTATAGTACAATGGTAGTGCTCCTGGGACACAATCACAAGGTCCAGAGTTCAATACCATATAAGGACCAAGTAAAATTTAACCATTGGTGATACAAAGATCTCATTTACTCCATGTTTATGATCTGGTATCCCAATATAGCCATGACAAGGAATTGACTGCTTATCATGCCCATAATAAGACAGAAAAATTAGGCTGGTGTGCAAGCTGTATACCAAAAACAGATATCCAACAAGACAAAACTAAGTGATACAACATCTTTAATCAAGACTAATCCCCTATCTGAGTAGCAAAGTTGGGCAGTAAGGTGTTTCGATATTTAAAAAAACACAAGACAAGTTTTTCAAAAAGAGGTAAAGATGGGTTGTTACAAAAAACAGGTGATAACAAAAACAAGACAGGTTCCACAAAAAATGTACGTGTTAATAGAAGTCATAAAGATCCTATATAAGAGACTCCTGATACCGGTGGTGCTAGGTATCTTAAGCAAGATCTTGACACATTAGTCTTCCTTCACAGAAATAGCAATAAGTTGTCTGATAAACTACAGTTCTAGGAAGTGTTGCTTCGGTTGGATGAGGTTATACAAACATAGTTTAAAACTGGATAGTTCTTTATTAAATTGATAGGTTAAAACATTTCCAGTATTACTGACTTTGTTAAGAATTAAGAAAAAATTCTATACTAGATGGTCATATGGCTTTCCTATCTTAATTGGGTGAGATGTAAATAGATACCCCTTGTACTATTCGTTGATCTGTAAATCCTTAGATAGTATGGATAATTACTCATTCCAAATATTTCTAGGATCTATCTTAATAATTAATAAAGGTTCCAATGCTGGTGCAAAAATGAGCTAGTGTGTTAAAAAAAAATAAAATAAAATAAAGATATTTATAAAATATTTTGACTTTTATATACTAACTCACTTGTTATCGAAAAACTGTTCTCTAAATATAACTTAGAAAATGATATTTTATTCTTTTACTAATTTGAATAAATTCTCTAATCAATAAAATTATTGTTTATAGGTTATTACTATAAATCATTCTAAATTCCATCTACAATTAAAATTAAATCATTTAGTTCTATAATAAATCTAATTCTTAATAATTTTTATATACTTATTTCTCTTCTTTTTTTCAAAAACTTCTTGCTCCAGGTCTTTTAAGAGTATCAAGGATTCTTTTTGCTTTTGTATAATTTGTATATTAAATTTATATCCAAGTTTAATAATATTCGAATGCCTTATGTTCATCCTTTTCAACTCCTTTGCCGTGTTCATAGCAATAGCCAACATTGTATATTCCATCCAAATAGCTCATCTCAGCAGATTTTTGAAAATATTCGAATGCCTTATGTTCATCCTTTTCAACTCCTTTGCCGTAGCAATAGCAATAGCCAACATCGAAAGTCCCATTTGCATGGCCCATCTCGGCAGATTTTTGAAAATATTCGAATGCTTTCTCTTTATCCTTATAAACTTCAATTTCGAAGAAATAGCAATCGCCAACTTGACACACCCCATCTTTATCACCCATCTTGGCAGATTTTTGATAATATTTAAATGCCTTATGTTCGTCTTTTTCAACACATCTACCAAAGCGATAACAGCTTGCAAGAATATTTTGCGCAGTAGAATTTACTTCATTATTTAAGCACCAGTTAATAATATCCTCCGGTTTTTGATATTGAAAAATTAAGTCAAGAATCAAATTGGTATTTTTTCCCTTTGACCTTTCTTCGAATACTGGTTCCATATTTCTTTTGCAATTTCATCAAGAAAATTTTGCGACTTATCATTGTCGCATGAAGTGTTAATGATTATCTTTTTATCCGAAGTATCCATGAGTAAAGCTGTTGAACGTAGTGAACGTACTGTACTTGATTTACATTATGCATGCATGCATGAGTGCAGGTTATTTATTTTTAGTGCTGCTTAATAAGATAAAATCGTATTTACAAATCTTTTTCAAGCATTTTTATCATGCGATCTTTTTGCAAGATTTTTTTTATGTACAATTTACTTACAGTAAATAAAGGGAAAAAAAAATAATGTAAATGTTATAAGGGCCTGTCTATTCAGCTTGCAGAACCAGACGAAAAAAAACAGTATTAACTTTTATGAATTTTTTTGGGAACGATAACACGATACTATGAGTCAAATATAATGATAATATATTCATTTCTTGAATGAAAAGCATCATCATATAATTATATAATGAGCTTTACAAAGTCTCTGTTAATTTCTTTATTAATACGGACATACCGCAGATGTTATTAAAGAATATTTTTTTAAAGCTTACTAATAAGAAAAGATCAAATCATTTATTTAATAAAATAATTTTTAAGTTATACATGTTCTGGGCACATGATTGGGATTCTTCAAGTCACCCTAACCCATGTTCTGTGCACATGGTTTAGAATCTTTGATGACACGTTCTTTTGACAAATCAAGAGTCATGTCACCCTCATTCCTAATTCTAAACTCTATATCACGGTGTCGTTCGTATCATCTACTCAATATATGAACCATATAGAGGGACTAAGACAATAGCATTAAAATAATCTCGGGTAACAGCGAAAATGAAAGAATTGTATAGTGTGCATAGTAAATTTTTCTTATAGATAGTTATCATATTCTACATGTTTTCTGTGCAATTCTCGAGTTTTGACTATCACGAGAATATACAGATTCAATGACATTGTAAAATTCAAACTGATTCCATGACTTTTTTTAGGTAATCTCTTTTTTACATGATAATTCGCATAGAGATAGGATATAATTAAAGACACGGATAAATCGATGTGTCATGATGTCATCGGCAGGAAGCGCCGTTTAGCTAATTTTTATTTATATTGTTTTAGTATTAAGGAAGTGTCCAATTCAGTTACCCAATTTGGATTGATGCCTTTGGAAGACAAAGATCGGTGAAAATAATCTTGTATTGAATTATTACCATTTCTTATTTATTTATAATTCATTTTTCTTTCTTTTACAGCTGTGTGATGCCACTCCGGATAAAGCTCGCGATCCTTCGAAACGCGAGAATCTTTTTTTTTTTTTCGGTGATGAATTATTCGAGTTTGATATTTTAGAGTCCTTTCTGGAAACTTTCGCAGCGTCGTTTACCAGTTTTATCGCCCTATAAAACTTTACTTTAAAAATTCCTCGAGGATATTTGTAGATAATACCTGTTCTACTCGATACAGGAGAAATTTAGATTCAGACGGCAAGAAAAGTCAGTGTCCAACACTGTCAAAATCTCTGTAAGAAGCAAAAGAGGTTCGACTCGCTAGAATAAATATTATTTGTGGTACGAGAATTTAAAATATATGCTTAGCGTCGGAGCACACTACTGCGAGTACTTGGCAATGATACGGAGACACTTTTACATATTGATGACTTAGCATAGGGTCGAAAGGGTAGACTTAAAGAAATTTTGACCTGGGTGGCATTTATCTTTATTTCTATATACAAAAAAAAAATATTTTTTTTTTATATACAGTATAAAGAAAAAAAAAAAAAAAAGAGTTTGCACTCATAACAATTTAAGCTTCTAACAAGAAAGTGAGAGAAGATGATCAAGTCAAAAGTAAGGTGCGTCATTGATACTCATATCAACTTCATTTTGACATGTATATTAATCCCGGTTATTTAAAGCGAGGAATCCACCAAGTGATTTCTGATAGGCGAACCAAGGCTTCGCGAATGATAGATCCACATCGATTCCCTTGATCTCAGGTTGTATTCATTACCAGGGTACAAATGATGATAAAAGTCGAATGACTCAGAAAAAATATTCCTGGAAAATGAGACTTGTCAGATATAGAATGATCACTCAATTGGGTTATAGACTTCGACGAGTCCGAGGTTGGCGACAACTTACTTAGGTTCTATATTGGTGAAAAATGCATAAGTCAACACCAGAAGAAGCTCGAGCTATATAATTTATTGGAATCTTATTTTAAGATGGTCAGGGCAGAAGCGCTCATCATTAAGCAGTTAGAATAAAAATTAACCGAAGAGGAAAGAGGGTTTGGTATGTAATATTACTTTTAAAGGTGACAAAATAGTTTGTGCTCATCAACTAATGAAAGTCCTTATTATCCATATTTAAAAAGGGCTAATTATAAAAAAAATAACTGAAAGCAAAAAATTTCACAACAAAATGTTAAAATTAAGAGCGGAATCACAATTGGATTAGTTTATTATACTGTATACTGTAAATAATAATAAATTTATTTAATCAACTTTTATATACTGTATACAGTATGCAGTATATACTGTATCTTGGTACATTACTTATAAATTTCACATCTATCCACTATACCTATCACCCACTCGTAAGATACCTGGTCCACCGGTGGATCATTTGTTCTTTGGAAACATCAAGAACTTGATCAAAGCTGAGGTTTCTGATACCCGATTAAAGATTTCTTTCAATATTCACCTTATCTACTGTAAATGATCTCAACGGATTGGAGTATTTAAATTGCGTGTTAAGAGTTGCACCACCACGTAAGGATTACAGTGGTTCTCCAATAACTTAAATCTAGATTCTTAAATTCAATTATAATCTTTCAAAATGATTTTCAAAAAGTTCCAACGATAATTAGATCACCAAAAGAGAATAAACAATTCAAAGGTACGTGATATTCATTTTGTCTATTCTATTTTCGATATCTAATGAGCTCTCTTCTTTTTTTTTTCTCAAAAACACACAGATAATAATCCCAATCTCTGCAATCCACAGATTACCCTCGGTGTGGGGTGAAAATGCTGAGGAGTTCAAGCCTGAGCGATGGCAAATGTCCTCTAATTCAGAGTCAGTCAATAAGTCGGATATAAATAATTCTGCCTATCTTCCATCATCAATAGTCCCAAATCCTTTATCGGGAACAAGGTGACAATAAATGAATTCAAAGTCTTCTTGTCAGTGCTAATAAGAAATTTCAAGTTTAGAGAGATCGGAGGGTTTAAGACCAGGAAAATTCAGAACATAGCATTAAGGGCGTTTCCAAATATCGAATTATGGGTGTCAAAGGTGAAATGACCAGATGAAATGTGATGTAAAACTGTCGTTCATTATGAAAAGGAAATAGATACACAACCATTTATTTAATAATGTGTAGCGAATCCGATTAATGTGCATTCGGTAGAAGTTGATCAAAGAATTTTCTTGAATAACTTTTCATAAACATACATTATATCATAGTCATAATCTAAACTATCAAGATATAAAGGGTAGGTTAGCAGCATTGATTCTAGGAATTCATTATATGTCGATGTCATTATAATCGTAAACTACTTTGATCGTAAATTGTTTTGTGTATAGTATTGTTAAAGGCGAAAGGGACATGCGAACATACATTATACAAACAGCGGTCGTCGATACATTCTCATGGAGTAAGTTCTATAGGAGGTCGAATTATCTTGTTATATCCATTATGCACTATAAGTTTATACTCAATTAATAAGATAATCGATTGTGTACGCGTAATACTCGAGCTTTGATAGCACAATTTTTATTACGCACTTACGATAAATTCACGTAATCCACGTTTAGATGTGTTTTTTTACAAGGCGCCAGTTTTCCATGTATCATGTAATATCATGGAGATCATCATCCAGCGTTTGGACTTCGTAAAGGTGCGCTAATAAATTTCCCTCATTCCTTCTCATACCTTTCTTCAATTCCTTACAAAAGCACGCTCGTAAACTTTTTTTTCCATTCCGTATAAACGCATTTTTATATTCCAAAAGGCATTTCCTAATCATACAAATGCAATCCGCATGTAGATAGATGTACAGTATGTTTCATTACTTGAAGCAGGAATCTGACATTTGTATCACTTGTTAATTCAAAGCTTAGAACTGGGAACTTTGTTCAATACTTAAATATAAATTGCAAAAAGGAACTTGACAAATCACCTGATTTAATTTAGGAACAATTCATTCACTTGATGCAACAATATCAAGATATAATTAAAATTAACAATTCACCTGCTGGATGCACTGACTTGGTTACTTGTCATATTATCATTAAAAACACTCTACCAATTAAGCAGTGACCTTATAGGATATCTTCTGTTGAACATGAATTTGTAAAAAAAAATTTTTTTGAATATATGTTAATTCAAGAAATATTTCAATTATTATAGAACTCTTCAATTCTAAAAAGAAAAATGATCAAACAAGATTTTATGTTGACTATTAGAAGCTTAACAAAGTTTTCAAAAAGAATACTTATTACCTAGGGTTAATAAAATTTTTGACTTGCTAGGAAAAGTCAAATGATTTACTGTACTTCTTTGAATATAGTTAATAAATATTAACAAGTTGAAATGGATTTAATGAACAAGAAAAAAAACTACTTTTATCATCAAATAAAGAACTTTTGAATTTTATATTATACTTTTTGAATTAATTAATATATTAATTACTTTTCAATAACTTATAAATCATATAAATATATATTAGACCTATGAGTCAATAGTGCAATAGTTAGCACTCCATAGGCATATCACAAGATTCTGGTTCAAGTCCTCCAAATAGCAAAATTATAAAAAATTCTGTCAATTCTTGTTAAAGATAGGAATCTGCCAGCATAACCTATTAACCTGATGTCACTTATAGCTGATCATCACCCTGATCAGACAGGTCTATGAGCAGGTGATACCTCGCTCTTGCATCATAAACCTGATGTGGTTGAGTTTGCAACTGGAATAAACTTGATTTGCATCCGTTGAGTTTATAGATCCTTAACTGATCAAGAACAGATTCCAAGCTAAAAGAATTGGAAATTTCTGGAAAAAAGAGTAAATCCTTTACCGGTAGGATGTATAAAAACATGTAACATTAATGATGTGTCAACAATATCGGGAAACCTTGGTAGGAGAAGGAATTCATGCACTACACTGAAGTATCTAAAATCTTTGGTACAAGTTAAAGATAATATAACAGTTTAATAACTAGATTACTTTATAAAAATGTTCTAAAAAAAATAAAGATAGTATTGTATATCTTATTCACATTAAAGTAATTGGTTCTGTATTTGTATGTATAATAGTCTACTTGCTTATTAAAATAGATAGTACATAGTTATATTAATATATAATCAACTGTATACAGAACCCAGTTAACATTGTAAAACTCTTTCTGCTGATCCTCTGATCACACACAAAAAAGATGTTCACAAAAAGTTTTATACTTCTTTGCTAATAAAGTCTTTATACTTTTATTAAAACAACTTGAAGCTTGTCTTCATATATCTCTTCTACCCTCTCTTACTTGTTTATAAACTCCTTTGAATAAAAACTTGAGCCTCTAGTGACCTAAAAAGACTCAAGTATGCACTTCCTCTACTAAGGACAAGAAGATTCTAGGAAATAAAAGGACTGACAAGTGGAGTGTCACCTCACAGAGCTAGAAGTGACAAGAAATAAAGGTTCTGTTGATAGGGGAAGGCTTATTTTTCACCTTTTCATATACTATCTTATACTTTCTTAAAGTGCTTACTGGTTTTCACAGTTTTCTTGAAGGATTTTGCCTACTTCAGTTTATCCCTAAATTTTTGGTAGCACAACATCACCTGGCATCTGATTGGTTGATACGAAATACATTAGTAACTGAATGTAAACAAGCTCCTATTGGTTATCTCACATGTTCTGATGACATCATTGGTAATAGAAAAAGAAATCAAGAATATGAACTTCTTCACTCCTCCAAATGAAGTTTAACTGAAGCAAAAAAATTATGAGGCCATTAGGATGGGTACTAAATTCCCTAGGTAGTGAAAAGATAGTTATTTGTTCAAACCGAGACCTTCAACTTCTTATCATTCCGGTCAGACAAAGTATGCAAAGGAGATTATTTCCTTATTCCGGTCAGGCTGTAAGACCAAAAAGCAGAGTAATGTAAAATACTGCTCTTCTCTAGGATTGAGAATGCATTTCTCCAGGCATTATGTAATGATATCGTAATTGACAAAAATCCCTATACTTTGCAAACCCTCCCACCATTACAAGGCAAAAAGATTGTTGGAAATTTGGCTTTTTGGGTAATGGAAGATATATACTAGTAAAATTCCTTTAACTAGGCATGGCTGCCAGAAGATATCGGGAATTATACAATAAGATTGAAAAGTCACATAAGAACCTAAGGTCCACCATTAGCTGTTCTGTTTTGCACAGGTGAATAAAAAATAAAGACCAAAAGAAAGGAAGCATTGAGCAAGACACTGGATCTGAGTAGGTGATAAGTATCTCAGACGGTCACAAGAAAATAATTCAGAGCACAAATAGATAAGTTCTTCAGACAGTCAAGAAGAAGAAGGAGATCCCAGAAGAGTTGATTCCTAATGAGAAGAGGTTTCTAGCCAAGGTTCTTTGAAGGACATGGAGCAATTTTAAATTTCTTTTTTCTTTTTTCATTTTCATGTAATGCATTTGAACATTTTTAGATATTCTCCTTTTCTTTTATTTTTCCTTTCCCCTTTTGTAGTTTCTCAAATTCAGTTCCTTGAAGAATAATAAGTAGTGACAACCTGCTAGCAATGATGAATAAGTTAGAAAGGTCTTTACCCAAAACTTAGTTCAGAGCGAAATATTGTTTTCAAGGTTGCACTTAGAGGCTGAAGCTCTTTTGAGAATTGAAAGCTATTGACAAGTGTGTTAGTACAAGATTTTAGTTTAGCCATGATACAATTGCCCTATATATCTCGATTAGTTTTCTCAATAATTAATAAACACACAGTATTGGCTTAACCACAGGTATTAAAAAAAAAAAAGAACCCAGTTAACATTGTTCTGGGTCGCAATTAAAGTTAATAAAAAAATATAGTTACAGGCAAAGCCTCAGAAATAAATTTCATTCCTATAAAAGATAGCCAGAACCCATGGATCCAAGAGTGGAATAGACAAGTCTTAGATAACACAATATCAGAAACTGCAAGGAACCTCATCAAAGCAAGGCACATCTTCAACTGAAGAATGCTAGACCATAACCTAACCTCAACAAACAGCAACATACTACAAAGTATAGTATAGGCAGAATCAATGATCCATAAACCTCCATCTCTAATAATAACAGGTACAATGGATCACAACACCAGATCTTTCGTACTTAGACTATGGAACTTAGAACTGCCAACCAAAGATAAGTTACACAAAAAAGCAGCAACAATATACAAAGACAACTTCTGCATCAACTGTCAGCACATCAAAACCAACACCCATGCAATGATATATAAATGCAATGGCATAGACATCTTCAAAAAACTACTCTAGATAATCAACGAGGAAATTAGCAATAGAAAACAATAAACCTTTCAAAAAACATTGAGCAACAAACTTAAAAAAATGGAAAGTAAATGGACTCCTGAGGAAAGAAACTATATTGCAAGGGAGACACTAATAAAAGATCTCTTAAAAATAATAAAGGAACACACAATAGCAGAAAATCAAAAAGAAATCCAAAAAAATATCATAAATAAATTCCTGACTATCCTTCAGGACAAATGGCAACTGAGGTGCCAGCTCTTTTCACAATAGGAAATGAATTAAAATATAACCAAAAAAGATAAAAAAAATGAAAAAACTAGACAGAAGAACCACTATGTACAAATCATATATCCCAGGAATCAATGAAATCATAAAACATTCCAGTTAATACTGGATCAACTGGAACACAATATATTCTTTCAAAACAAATTTTTATGGGACAGGTAGAACCTTGGCAGATTAGTCAAGTATATATCAGTATTTGACAATAAGCCACATGATAGGACTATCCTTAAAGAGTTTAATTAGGTAGCTAGAGAGTTAAATTTGTATAAAATAAATTTGTATATACTTATAACAATATCTAATAAACAAGTTGTAAGCCATCCAGTTAAAAAAAAAAGTTTATATGAAGCATTATATTCATTTAACAATTTATGAAAATCAATTTTGAAACATATATTGATTCGTTTTTTTTGATAACATCTTATTTAAATGTTTATCAAGTAATGATAAAATAACATCCAAATATAGAAATAAGATATTTTTTATA